ATGTTCTTTGTCAGGTGGGGGGGGGGGGGGGGGGGTTGAGCCGTGCTTACTGCCAGAATATAATATAAACATTTTCTGACTTCTTTGATATGTCTACGTTAGAGGAATGAGGAGTGAGGATTAGACCGTGACACCTTCCCTGTTATAAGACAGCTGTTCCTAAAACCAAATCTGGGTACAAAGGGGGTGACAGATAATCCGGGATGATTTGCATTATGAAAGTGAGGAGGTGCCGAGTGCACGGAGCGCCGCTGCGAATTGCAGATATGTGTCACAGATGATCAGTAATAAAGTTTTTAAAAATGGCGGCGCCCTTGTGTGATACCACAGCTGAAAGGGGAACCCTGAAATAAGAATTATTGCCAAGTGTGAGTGGTTATTGTCAATCGGGGAAGGATTTTATTGGAAAAGAACAAATAAATGTTACAAATTATATAATATATATCTATCTATATATAGATATATATATATAATATATATCTATATAGATATATCTATATATCTATCTATATACATACATACATACATACATACATACACCCACCCACACAGATATACATACATACACACACTATTTTATATACACAACATATATTTTTCCATGTATATAATTACACACACACATCTGCATATACATTGATACACGACCAGGCTATCGGTCTTGCATTTTGCATCAGTCTTGTAAATAAACGGGCTGTACATGTATAATTGATACCTTCCCTTTGCCGCACTTTATAAAATCGTCAGGCCCTGTCTCTTTCCCCTGACAGAAATGCATTAAGGCCCTCGGCTTGTGATTGCACGCAGCAATATACGGCGCCTTAACGAACACTTCTTAATTATGATGTGTCTGTTGGTGAACGCCATACCTTCACTTTACATCAGGAACATATTGCAGGTAGCTGCAAACGCTTAATTATCTTCCTGTTCACTCACCGATGCCATGCGCCAATGACAACAAACATCAAACCCTGTGGGGTGCCTAAGAAGGTGGGGGGGGGGGGGCATGTTTTCAGCCCAGAAACAAGACAGAGCCGGTGGCAGTCGGGGGGTTAATACGGAACTCTCCCCCATACATGAAGTTGTCCCCCTTTTTTTTTCCACCCTTTAAAGTATCTCATAAAATATTCGCAGCGTGAGCGCTGTGATTTTAGCGGCGTGGTGTTTGCATCAATTTACTTCAGTGGAATCAAACTAGCCCACTGCGTGAATATATTTGCATGCGTTTGTGTAATCCTCAAATTATAGGCTTCGGGTCGTCTCTACGTCACCGCAAACAAGGATCCTTCGGCCTTTGAAAAGGTAGCAGCTGTAACATTGTTTTTGGGGAAGAATTTCTTTCTTTCTTTTTATTTTCAAGATTTTCTTTTCCTTTTTAAATGGTTACATTAGGAAAGATCCATTCGGAGAGGATACAAAACTCGAGGTGGAATTTAAAAGCAAAAGAAAAAAAAGCAGACGACGAGGACAAAAAGGTTAAAATACGCTCTGCGCATTAAAACATATTTTTCTCCACCGCAATTATAATTAGAACCACCAGATCTAATTACGGGGCAGCCCCTGCGTTCTCGCGACGTCGAGCGCCAGAGCCGGCTCCGCCATAGATCTTCGGCGAGCGTCGACATGCTGCACGCCTTGCGCCTGACTCCGCTCGCCCGAAAACCTTTAAATTGCTCATTAATCAAACCGTTCGCTGCACCACTGCGAGGAGCCGGACGCACAATTTCATTTGTAACCAAGTTAACGACTCCGGTGTCCGTTTCACCTTCTTGGGGGTTCGTTTTTGTGTTTGAATTCAGGTCCGTCACAACGTTTTATGGTCGCAAACTTTCTGTACAAACAAGAAATGCCTTCCGCAATATTGTGACTGCAAAGGGGGGGAAATAAGGAGCAAATATAAAATAATATTTGGAGGATCCGCAGTTTGCTGTGTTTGCTTTTTTTCTTTAAACGTTTTTGTGTACTTAGTGACTGAGGATGAATAATCAGATGTATGCTCTCTGGAAAGTCCTATTTAAATAGTGCGCACAAGAGTGATGGGAACGCAGAGGTGCAAAGAACAAACCGAAGAGCAAAGTGCAAGAGATATCTAAACAAAAACAAAAAAAGAAATAAAAGAAAAAAAATAAAAGTATAATAAAATAAAAAAAACACAAGTTCCAAATTGCTGGGGAGGACCAGCGTGCCAAATTCACAACAGAGGCATCCGGCTGTATACCTGACCCGGCCTGTCCTATTATCCTGAGAGGATAAGCCACCAAACCGTAAAACGCAGCCTTTGTTGTGCCATTAATGACACGGCCATGTTTCCTCCAGCCTGCTAATTAAAACCGTCTTGCACGGGGGCTTTTCAACCAAAGCAGGAAAAAAGTAAATAGTATTAAAGGCCACACTGAGGTCGCTTTCCCATACCCACCTCAAGTTCATCTGGCCCCCCACCCCAAACTTTATAAAACATTTGATCGTGAGATTAAGCAAGCTTGGGTTAAACAAATTAACTTTTCGGGGGTTTTATTTCAGCCTACGTAGCTTCGAAAATATATGTAGAAAATACTACGCGTGTGACAAGTTTGAAACTTACACCGGTATTAAAACTTGAACTCCTCCGGCCTGGAGAAGGCCCAGAACTCCTAAATGGCACGCTGTCCGAATCGAGTACGTTTATACTACACTGTGTTTTGTTTTGTTTTGCCATCGTAGTACAGGCCCCAGGCTGGCGCAGGCAGGGCATGGCCTGGCACAGAAGAGGTTAATAAAAGTGCCATTGAGGAAACATTAAGGGGGTTTTTTTTTGTTTTTTTTGCCAACTCTTCAAAAGCAAGCTTGTGGCGGAGAGAGACACAGACACTACAGAAAACAGACCCAAAGAAAAAAAAAAAAAATGACACTTACATAAAACAGCCAAACAAGACAATAATTGTGCGGTCTGGGCGAGGGAATCTAGAGGGCAGCTTTTGCGTCAGAGGCTCTCCAGTTACCATGGCGAATGATTTATTGATACTGATCAAGAATAAAGAGATCAAACGCTGCCACATGACAGGTGATCAATCATGTGTCAAATCAAAGCTGGCAATCATCTGGAAGGACGAATTTCCGCTGGGTGCGGCTGGCAGCAAAAAACACACAACATTACAACAACAACACCAACAAAAAAAAGGAGGAAAATCTGCACAGCAAATTCCCGGCAACAACACCGGCATTTTATTATTAGTACAGCAATTAACCGGCTTAAAAGGGAAACTCTTTACGAGATTGGCTGATCTGCAGGCAGAGGGACACATGAGGAGTCCTGTGTCGGCGGCGGGGAGGCAGGCTGCCTCAATGAGTAACAGGAAGTATTAAGTACTGACATATAATGTGATTTCTGCTTTGCATTTCTCAGAAAGCGGATCTGTCTGTTTGTAAATCAATGTCAATCCTACATCAAACGCGGCCACAGGAAGAAAAGCAAGACAATTGCAAACACAGCAGAAGGTTCAGGACCTCATCAAGAGGCTGCACTACATACCCCCCCCTTCCCTAAAACAGGGAGCACAAAGTTGTAGCAGACTTGGGAGATGGGAAAAAGTTGCAGAGGAGACGGAGCAGATGGGAAGAGGCATGAAGAGTGTAGAAGATGATCAGGAACAGCTGAAGAGATATGGAGGATGGGGAAGGGGGGGTCATGTGAAAAATTGATTTATGGTGGGGTGTTGGGGAAAGAAGGGGGAGGGGAGGGGGGGCACACTCTTACCTGCTGCCCGTTTTGGTGCCTGCTGCTTCCTCCTGGTCATGTCGCCTCTTCCTCTCCTTCCCAGCTCTCTTCTTCAATCCAGGTCAAAGCAAATAAGTAATGGAAAAAACAAGAGAGAAAACAGATTGCCTTGAGTATGATGTGCGGAGTCTCCCCCCTCTCTCTCTCTCTCTCTCTCCTCCTCTCCTCTTCAATGGATGTGTGATGTCCTCAGTTCTGCTGATCATCCGCAGGGTGACAATAATCCCGGGACCCCCCCTCTCCCTGGTGCAGGGGGGAGGTGGTGGTGGTGGTGGTGGTGGGAGAGAGGAGGGCAGGGGCACCGCTGCTCTTGTCAGATGCCAGGCTGGGAGTGAGATGGGCAGGGAGGAAAGGCGTCTCTTCTATCACACACAGGCAGCCAACATCCATCTACTCTACAAACTGAACATTAACAAACTCCTCCTCCCGACCTGATGACAGCCAGTGATCCCTCTCTCCTCTCCACCTCCTGTCCTGTGCCTCCTCTCCATCTACTATCCTGTGCCTTTCCTCCACCTCCTGTCCTGAGCCTTCCTGTGCCTCCTGCCTCCCACCCCACAACTGATGACAGCCAGTGATTCCCCCCTCGTCTCTCCACCTCCTGTCCTGAGCCTTCCTGTGCCTCCTACCTCCTCCCGGCAGCCAGGAATCCCCCTTCTTCTCTCCACCTCCTTGCCCTGTGCCTTCCAATGACCTTATGACAGTGAGTGTTCCCTCTGTTCACTAACTCCTGACACGTCCCTCCTCTACAACTACTACCCCCTGCCTCCTCTCCAACTACTACCCCCTGCCTCCTCTCCATCTACTACCCCCTGCCTCCTCTCCATCTACTACCCCCTGCCTCCTCTCCATCTACTACCCCCTGCCTCCTCTCCATCTACTACCCCCTGCCTCCTCTCCATCTACTACCCCCTGCCTCCTCTCCATCTACTACCCCCTGCCTCCTCTCCATCTACTACCCCCTGCCTCCTCTCCATCTACTACCCCCTGCCTCCTCTCCATCTACTACCCCCTGCCTCCTCTCCATCTACTACCCCCTGCCTCCTCTCCATCTACTACCCCCTGCCTCCTCTCCATCTACTACCCCCTGCCTCCTCTCCATCTACTACCCCCTGCCTCCTCTCCATCTACTACCCCCTGCCTCCTCTCCATCTACTACCCCCTGCCTCCTCTCCATCTACTACCCCCTGCCTCCTCTCCATCTACTACCCCCTGCCTCCTCTCCATCTACTACCCCCTGCCTCCTCTCCATCTACTACCCCCTGCCTCCTCTCCATCTACTACCCCCTGCCTCCTCTCCATCTACTACCCCCTGCCTCCTCTCCATCTACTACCCCCTGCCTCCTCTCCATCTACTACCCCCTGCCTCCTCTCCATCTACTACCCCCTGCCTCCTCTCCATCTACTACCCCCTGCCTCCTCTCCATCTACTACCCCCTGCCTCCTCTCCATCTACTACCCCCTGCCTCCTCTCCATCTACTACCCCCTGCCTCCTCTCCATCTACTACCCCCTGCCTCCTCTCCATCTACTACCCCCTGCCTCCTCTCCATCTACTACCCCCTGCCTCCTCTCCATCTACTACCCCCTGCCTCCTCTCCATCTACTACCCCCTGCCTCCTCTCCATCTACTACCCCCTGCCTCCTCTCCATCTACTACCCCCTGCCTCCTCTCCATCTACTACCCCCTGCCTCCTCTCCATCTACTACCCCCTGCCTCCTCTCCATCTACTACCCCCTGCCTCCTCTCCATCTACTACCCCCTGCCTCCTCTCCATCTACTACCCCCTGCCTCCTCTCCAACTACTACCCCCTGCCTCCTCTTCACCTATTATCCCCTGCCTCCTCTCCAACTACTACCCCCTGCCTCCTCTTCACCCTGCCTCTTCTCCCCATTTTATCCCCCTGCCTCCCCTCCAACTTCTACCCTCTGTCTCCTCTTCACTTATCACCCTCTGCCTCTTCTCCAACTACTACCTCCTACATCTCCTCTACCTACTGCCCCCTGCCTCCCCATCAACTACTACCCCCTGCCTGCTCTTCACTTGTTACCCCCTCCCTTT